TTGCTCTCCAACCAGCTGACTTTCACAGTTACTTCTTCTCACCGTTCGCTCAACCCTTGTTGGTTTGTTGATACCTAACCTAATAGAAGCCCACCTGCCTAATCCCATAGGCAAACTATAAGAAAAACAAGCATTTACTACTGTATATACCAAAATTATGAATCTCTACTACCGAGTAAATCTCATAATTCAGGAGACAGAATTTCGGAATTCGTAAGTTCAAGTTTAGAAACATATGGATCGTTTTGGTAAAAACACTATAAAACTTTGGGCACACGAACAGTGTCAAGAAAAGTTTTGCACTACCTGAAAACAAATAAAGAACACCAATACTTAATTGAGGTAACTTGGTAACTACTACTGAAATTTGTCATAGTCCTCAAAATATTGAAATACACACAACAAGATTATATTTTAAACTTCTTGCGGAAAAAAGGTTTTTGTGAATGCTCAAGTACTTATTTTACCCGTTGGGATCAAAAAGAAGCTTATCCATATCCACTCTAGAAAGGCGAGGAACTCCATTATCTGGATCTTCATGTCCTGTCAGGTAAAATATAACATGTTTTTTTTTTTATTTAGAAAGGATTTTATAAAAATCACAAATTAAGAATAACTCGAGATATGACTAAAGATGACCAGTAGGCGTGCGATGTCCAGTAGGTGTTCGATGACCAGTAGGTGTACAAACTCCAGAAGTACGTGGAGGTGTCACTGGATCCCTGGATGAAGCTTCTCGGAAATGTAGACCTACAAGAAGACTGTAATCCATAATCCTCTCTTGTTCAAGAAAGTCACAGTCCCTGTCGACTTGCCTGCATCAAGGATACTTCAGATTACATAGAGAAACAACTAAAGTAGAGATAATAAAGCATTGCTTCCTAATGATTTGAGTATTCCTTCTCGGAGACAAGAGCAAATCTTTTCCCCACGCAAAGTATAATTTCTTAGATGCCTTTTCGATATATTGTAGTTCCGTAGAAACTACAATGTATCTTGCAACTTCGTTAATATTGTCATTATTGGTGTTTGATATGTTTTCTGAATATTTGTTTGTTTTGGTTTTGAATACTCATGTATTCCAACCTTATGGAGCTCTTCATTCTCACAACTGTATCAAATTCTGTAGGCTTTTAATATCAGTGTCCGGTGCCAAATAAATAAGCATCCAAATCGAATTTTTAGTCCAACTCCATGAATAAATAAATAAATCAATTAAGACGGGATAAGTAGTCCATTTAACACAACAAAGTAGGTTAGTTCTAAAAGAAAAGCCTTTTCTCTCAACTACTAAGTTAATTAAAGATTAGCCACCTGTAAGTAAATAACATTGAAACCCGATTAGAGCCAAGTTTCAATATTCCGAGATGACTTAATTCGGAGTATCATTTTATTATGCAAATGCAAGCAATAATTCTTTTTTCCCTCAATTTTCTTTCCCTTTTCTTTTTTATGAATTACAAGAGCATTACTGCACGAACCATTTCTCCTTTCCACAACATGATAAAAAAGGAAAGAGAACGGAACCAGAAGACTTTCACCTGCAAAACTCTTGGAACCAGACTCTCTGTAACCTGAATATGAAATTGAGATCAAGGTCTTTGAGGGTTGTATTTGGATCAATTTCTGACTCTGGTTTAGCAGTGGTTCGACCATGGGAAGATCCTTTCAAGTCAAACCGCCTATGAATTGCGTACTCAGTACAAAATAAATTCCCCATAATGACAAATCGGACCTG